CTACATAACTATCAACGATATTTACTATAAGGTATTTTTAAAATGTGTGTTTAATTTAATTTGTGTATTTTCTGAAATTTATATTCTCGAAAAATTAAGTATTTTATATCTATTTTTGTTTAAAATCACAACAGATTCTCAAAGCTTCCATAATATTTTGTTTACGCTTGTTTTATTGCATGAATCCAGCAAACAAAATAATTTAATTTGTGAATTTCAATAAATTCTTCCAAATTATTATCAAACTTAAGAAATATATTGCTTATAGTTCTCCTTTGCTCTTAGCTATATAAACTAGCCCTCAGCGTTCTAGCCTCATTTTGTCCGATGTCTTCCTGTGCTCCTTCGCATGTTTCTTAATCGGCGTAGGGGTCAGTTTTGGCCTAATTCAAATAGTTAGTAGTTAATTTAACCAAGTTATTAATTCTTTGCGTTTTGGTCCTCTTATATCATTATTTTCTTTGATTTAATCTTACTCCGATATAATTGCCCCATCGCACTACTTATTTAAGTACTATATTCTATTTCAGTCGCACAGTTTCCACCTCGGCCCTGGCACTGTGCCCCTAATCTCCCACAGTGGCTCTTCCCCGGACCTTCGCTTAATGGGCCCCTGGATCTACCACTAAATCCCAGCAGAGTCGTTCATCCTTTACTCAATTTTTCCATAGGCGCTCCTGTCCAGCGCGGTGCACATGGGCACAGAAGGCCTTATGTAGGATCACCTAGAAAGCGGATCCATTCCGGGGGTCAGCTTCATGACCGACCTCCTAAAAGAAAAAGATTGAATTCTGTCAGCCCTAAAGCATCTCTAAATCCAACTGATCCCTTAAATTTGCAGGATCTGATGAAGGAAACTGAGCGTCGTCGAGTTGAGGGCCTCTCCCCACTTCGCGGGGATTCTAGGCTTAATACACCTGCAGTCAATGCTGGCGACATTGGAAGCTCGAGTCCCGTGGCTGCCAACGTTCATTTAATGCTTGATCTTCCCAGAATAAGGGCATCCTTTATGACTCAACGGCGCGGTTCCTCCAGGTGCCAGCGGCGTAATCTCCCAAATAGATTTAAAAGAAGACCTATCACAGGAAATTACCCCGATTACTATTCCCGCAGAGATCCTCATGAGCGCTTACACTATTTAATGCCTGAGTGGTTTAGTGGGAAGGATGTTGCAGATTATGGGTGCCACAATGGTACGATGACTTTTATGATACTTGAAAGGTTTCCCGATACTAAGAGGATCGACGCTTTCGACTGCGATGCAGATTTGATTGCCAATGCCAAATGCATGCAGAGGGAACGTATGCGATGGGAGACAAGCTTCTCAGTCTCATATCAAAAAATTCGATTTCAGGCAGCCAATTGGGTAGAGTCTGATTGTCCTTGTATAGACGAACCGGAGTATGATACCATTCTGGCTTTCAGTGTTACTAAATGGATACATCTTAATCACGGTGATGCAGGGCTGATGAGATTCTTTCGAAGGGCCTTCAATCTTCTCAAGCCCGGCGGCCATCTAATACTTGAGCCCCAACCTATCTCTTCCTATCGGCGTACCAGATTCACTGTAAGTTGCATTATACCCTTGTTTGGCCTTAGATATTTTTCTAATTAACA